TGATTTAAAGATACAAAGCATTACTTATTTTGTCATGCTAGCAAGGATGTAATACATTGTGCCACACATTTTGTACTTATAGTACATATTGCATATTGCTAACTGTAACACTCGGTTTTAAGAACAAAACCAGATACACACCATATGTGAGCCTAGGAAGTCAAATCTCACATATAGCTACAAATAAGGGTAATATCGAAAGACAATGCTCATTATATAACGTACTTAGTATAAAAGATATAACCTTAGACAACAAACAACAGAAAGACAACTCCGATCTTCAGGTGAAGACTCTAATTCCACATGGACAACTGACTGATTGATCACAAGCCTAACTCCTCTAGACTAGCAATCTGGTACCCATCTAGGATTTTCCAAAGATTTAAAAAGTAAAGCAAGCGTAAGTACATATCGCACTCAACAAATATAACATGGGGTTCATGAGGCTCAAAAGGCTGACACTGGTTAACTGCGATTAGCTTTTAATGAGTCATGATTTTAGCAATAGGGTGGCAACAAGTTTATCCACAAGCCCACATAAACACATGATTAGGTAAAAATGAATAATGAATAGCATAAACAATAATCATTAGTGAGCATCTTCATCATTAGTATCATCAGTGTTCATCATCTATTCCATAAGGGTCCAAGGCTGCTCGTGATTGTGAGCATGGCTGATATACCAGTTTTACACTCTGCAGAGGTTGTACACTTTCACTGTGAGTCATGATTTACCCTTTCACCCGAGGCGGCCAGCCTCTTGACCCACTACCAAGGAAGGTCAGCAGAGTTCACTATGAAGCCTTTCAAAGGTTCGTCTAACAAGTTAGGGCCGCTAAGGTTTCCCCATCAATAAGCATGAACGCCCCCTCCAAGGAATGACTAAGAAAATACCAAGAAACCAAAGTGTACCCTGTTGGCAGGCCGAGATCATACCTGTTAGAGCTCCTCTTGCGCCATAAAGGTAACCACTAACAAGCTAGAAAAGGTTCTCATACTGAGCTAAAGCCAGAGCCATGTAGCCCTCACAGTTGTACTGTAAGTCCCGGATGTTCGCTTACAGATGAGTCCTTAGGGAGAGGAATCTAGAGCACCATAAAATAGCCCAATACTCTAGCCCCGTGATTCCATGTTGCTAAAAAGCATCTTTTAATGTTTATTGCATATTCCATTAGTCAAGTTACAAGATCATGGTTTTGGTTGAGCATTAGCATCATACTACCCAATGCATAAACCCATAGGTATCAAGGTATAAGGTAATAAAGTACTAGGAAATCCTTAGTGGTAGTCAAGGTAGACACATGCTGCATGAATTAAATGATTAAAGGTGTATAGGATAACAAGGAAGATCCCATGCTATACTTGCCCTAAACTCAGATCCTTCTTCTAGTCCAAACCTTCAATGAATTGCTTCTGGATTCAACGCGTATAGCTCACGGACTGGACATGATCATAAAACACCACACAAGCATCCATGCAATCATACATGAAGCAAACAATAATAATAAATTAGAATAGTACACCAAACATAATACACAACAAGTAAAAAGGTTTTAAAGATGTTCTACATGTTACTACGAACACACAGACGTGAAAAGCACTGTAATCAGAGCTATAACGAAAAAGTTATGAATTAAACAAGATTTCCTTTAATAAAATAATAGATTAAATCTAACCTCGAATTTCAAAAGTTGAAAATATATTTAACAGTAGGATGAACATGTAGATTACTCAATTAGGAATCTAACGCAACTTGAATGGATCAAAACAGAGTTAAAACGAAGATTTTATGCCCTAAATAAGACTAGTGGCAAAACTGTAAATAGATGAAAGTGTATTTTGGATCTAACCGAAGAAACTACATTTTCAAAAGAAGAAAACATATTTTGAATCTAACAAAGGGATTTTACGCTTTCTAAAAGAGAACGTATTTTGAATCTACTAGAAGAAACTACGCTTTAGGAATAGGAAAACGTATTCTGGAAGTGCGCTATGGACTGCGGGTTATATTACGTGAAACTGTAGGGGCTCTTTTGCAAATAAACCCAGCGAAGATGTACAGGCGATCTTGGACGGTTGGATTGAATCTGGACAGCCTAGATTAGAAAGGAGGGGGAGAGAGAGTCACTGGCCGGAGAGGAAAGCCGGCGCGGTGGAGCTCTATTACCGGTGGCGAGAAGCTCCCCGGGGCGCTCGGTTTGATCCCTAGAGGCCACTGTTTGACAAGCTGAGAGCACATGGAACAAGAGGAGAAGGCGGCAAACTCACCTCATGCCTTCTTGCAGTCGACGGTGGGTCTACGACGTCAGGTAGTGTGGCGGCGACGGCGACGGCGATGGCGAGAGAAGGAGGAGAAAATTCTAATTTACTACACGAGGGATTTCTCAAACTCGGGGCTCTCCTTATTGTAGTTTTGGTGTTCTTTGCCCAAGGGGTTAGTACATATTTATAGGGAGAAAAACCCCCACATCTACATCAACTAGCAATATGGTACTAATTGATGTTGTATCCTCCACATTTACTAATGGACCTAAATAATCATTAAAATCCATTAGTAAATAAATACATGGGCCTTTGAGATTTATTAGAATTATTGCACATGGGTTTTGAGAGTTGGTTGGAAAATGAGATATATTATTTATTTTCGGAATTAATTAATTTCATGAATAAAATAATTCTAGAAAAGTCCAGAATTGATATTTAAGCCACGAAAAATACTCCGAGACCTCCGAAAATTTGGGGAAAATTCCCACAGACACTTTGGAACACGATGAACCCAAATAAAGTATTTGGAGCTCATGAAAAGATTGTTGGGAACTTGGAACATAAAGATTAAGGTGAAAGAGGTAGGAATTAAATTCCAGAAAGAAGCTGGAAAATTCCTAGAGATACATATTCGTCTCCTAAACGTATTTAGAAAAAAATACATTTTGCACATAGAAACACAAGGTGCGACCGGCATGAATGCAACAAACACGTTTCTACCTTAAGATAAATTTTAATCTAATGAAAATTTATTATTTCCCCATATTTTCATGAGCATAAAAATACAAAATTAAATCATTTTAGTTCTATTTCAAGAGAAGCAAATTTTAGGGTGTTACACTAACAAAAATGTAGTTTCTCTATCATGAATCGAGAAATTGATGAATTAGCGAACAAGCTAGTGGCTAATGCGGATGGAGGTGGATGGTTTTGGGACACAACAACAGGAGGCGACCCCACCAACAACGTTGCATATCCCAACAACATTCAACCCCAAGATCGCACGTTGCCCCACACAATTGTTGGTGCTCTGCTCCTAATAGGGCATGACTTCCTTGGCTTGCTGGCATGGCTGACGCAAGGAGAGCCATCAGCAACGGAACAACGACAATAGCGAGAGTCTTCTTGGAGCATGCCATGAAGCTCTAGGCTAGGCTTCCGTAAGTAGAGGCTACTTGGTCCCCTGAAGATGCTCATATGCTTTGTGGTTGTTCTCTTATAGAGAATTGAGTGCCCCTGTGCTTGTGGATCTTTCCTTATATAGACTTGAGCCACAACCAAATTAACCTTGAACAATCAACTCCAACTGATTTTCCTTAAGAAATATCATATCTTGAGTTTGTTACTCGTAGTACTAATATCCTCTAATATATAATACACACTCAATGATTATATCAATAGTAATGTTATTTAAATCATATATGTACAATTTCACATTTTTCTTAATAAGTATGCATAAGTTGCCTAATAATGTCATATCTATTTTGATCCTTGCTAATCAATTTTTTAATGATATAGATTCACTACATACTAATCTATCATTCATATGCACTTATTGGCTGCTAATACACCATTTAAATTGTGATTATCGCTAATATTATATTGATCATAATTAACAACACATTAACATGATTTAAGGGTCTGTTTGGATCCAACCGGCTAGTAGTTATTAGCTGCTATAAATTAGTCGTGGTGGATCCAAACAGACCCAGCTATTAGGTTAGCTAATTATTAGATGGACACCAAGCTAACAATTATCTTGTTACCTAGGCACACCAAGCTAATAGCAGCTAATTGATGGTCGTTGAGCAAAATTCCCTCCCTCCAAATCTAGGAGGTGGTTGAGAAGTTTTCACATCAGATGAAGATGTAGTAGGGATAAGATCAATTTGGATGTGTTTTATCTTTTTGACAAGTTCCAGCCGATCCATCCTGAAGCATACTATAGCATACTCTAGATAGCAGCAACTCGGGCCTATGCCCTCTTCTCTAGCATCTTGCAAATCTCATTAGAAAGTTGATCGGGCAAAGGCTTCATGATGTACATGGGATTGCTCAGTCGAATCATCTTGCTTACCATCGGCCATAGTAGTAGATCTATTTGCTTTCTTCCCCAGCAAAGTCGATCAAAAGTGTGTTGATGCGAATTTCGGTCAAAGACTAGGACACTCGATCATCTCGGCTGCACATGTCCAAGATACGCAGCGGGGATATATCTAAATGGTGAGGCAGACTAGCTAGTCAGCGACACCAATTCAATGCTAGTGCTTCGCCAAAAAAACCCACGAATGCCTCCTAGGATGACCCATCAGGAAATTGCACCACAGGGGTGCCATAAGATCGTCAAGGGCACCTAGAATGCTGGCAGATCTCGTAGAGAGATGTACTAGACCTCAAGGGGACTGGAAGACGTTTAGGTACAAAAGAGGCAAAAACTTTAATAAATTATTTTCATTGATTGCATAGATGGATTTCTAAATTGCCCATGATCCCTTTAGTAGGAAACATGTTCTACACAAAATTTTCACGTTTCACACAACATCGGAGGAGTTTCCAACAAGAAAACCTCAAGTTGTCATCGGGATATGCAGCTGAAGTGTCTGTTCTAGAGGTTTTGATGAACTGTGAGGCATTGGTCTCATCATCGTCGTTACAAAGCTGATCAATAGCTTCATCTATGTGAGTTGCAACTATAGCATTGTCACCCTAGTGCCATCTGTAGGAGCGGCATCTCCTTATATCACAGTTTCCAGCACCCAAACTATCTCGGAGGCGATATTGGTGGCCTCTGTAGCAATACTGTCAGTGCCTGTAGTAGCAACAAGCACAACAGGTTAGGAGGACTGGACAATGCTGGGTCGGCAAGCCTATTCAGGCTGCATCGCATACCAACAAGAAGAACTACACATCCTAATGCTTTTTACCAATCATTAGGAATTGGGTTGATACGGTGAAAACAAGGCAGGATGAGGAATCACCAAGCGTATCGGCATAATGTGAAGTTTTGCAAGACCACGTTTTATATATTAAATTGATTTAAAGATACAAAGCATTATTATTTGACATGCTAGCAAGGATGTAATACATTGTGCCACACATTTCGTACTTTACAGTACATATTACATATTGCTGACAAAAATGCAATTTCTCTATCTTGAATCGAGAAATTGATGAATCAGCGAACAAGCTAGTGGCCGATGCCGATGGATCTGGATGGTTTATTTGGGACGCAACAACAGGAGGAGACCCCACCAACAACCTTGGATATCCCAACAGCATTCAACCCCAAGATGATGCACGTCGCCTGACAGAACTGTTGCTTGCAGTTGTCAAATTTGGAGCACCGCTCTACTCCTAACAGGGCACGACTTCCTTCGCTTGCTGGCATGGCTGACGCAAGGAGAGCCATCAGCAGCTGAACAACGACAATAGCGAGAGTCTTCTTGGAGCACGCCATGAAGCTCTAGGCTAGGCTTCCGTAAGTAGAGGCTACTTGGTCCCCTGAAGATGCTCGTATGCTTTGTGGTTGTTTGCTTATGGAGAATTGAGTGCCTCTTTGCTTGTGGGTCTTTGCTTATATAGACATGAGCCACAACTATATTAAACTTGAGCAATCAATTTCTGCCATTTTTCCATAAGAAATATCATATCTTAAGTTTTTTACTCGTAGTACCAATATCCTCTAATATATATTACCCACTCAATGTTTGTATTATTGGTAATGCTATTTAAATCATATATTTACAATTTCACATTTTCTTGATAAGCAGGCAGAAGCTGCCTAATAATGTCATATCTATTTTGATCCTTGCCAATCAATTTTTTAATGATATAGATTCACTGCATACTAATCTATCATTCTTATGCACTTATTGGCTGCTAATAGACCATTTCAATTTTGATTATGGCTAATATTATATTGATCGTAATTATCAACATGTTAACACGATTTAAGGGTCTGTTTGGATCGAACCAGCTGGTATTTATTAGCTAATACAAATTAGTCGTGGTGGATCCAAATGGACCCAGCTATTAGGCACGCTAATTATTAGATGGACACCAAGCTAACAACTATCTTGTTACCTAGGCACACCAAACTAAAAGCAGCTAATTGATGGTCAGTTGAGCAAAATTTCCTCCCACCAAATCTATGAGGTGGTTGAGGAGTTTTTACATCAGATGAAGTTGTAGTAGGAATACGATCAATTTGGATGCCTTTGATTTTCTTGAGAGTTTCCAGCCGATCCACCCGGAAGCATAATATAGCATACTCTAGATTAGCAGCAACTCGGGCCTATGCCCTCTTCTTTAGCATCTTGCAAATCTGGTCAGGAAGTTAGTCAGCCAAAGGCTTCATGATGTACATGGGATTGCTTGGATTAGTTGGATCATCTTGCTTACCATTGGCCATAGTAGTAGATCTATTTGCTTTCTTCCCCATTAAAGTCGATAAAAAGTTGTGTCACACACTAGCACGGGCTTGATCGGCCGTGCTGCACATGTCCAAGATACGCAGCAAAGATAGATCTAAACGCCCTGCAGGAACTCGAGACGCCTGAGCAGGAGGAGGAATAGTCCCTCTGATCCATGCTTTCGCCGCCAAACTCGAGGAGGCTATGGACGCAGGACCGCTTGTCCTCGCCCACCATCTAACTCGCCACACCTGCGTGCTCACTGAATTCGGCCGAGAGCATGAGCTCAACGTTACTTTCTAGATCTGAAAGGATCATGATCCTACCCATGAGACAGATCTGACATCGCTACCTGATCGTGCTCCCTCTTGATTTCCAATTGGGTTAAGGAACACGGCGGCGACCTACTCGACTCAGCTTCCACATGCTATGGTGGTACCGACCGGACCTCGCACCAAGGAACCTGGAGGTCACAACTTAGATCAATCTAATTGGGAGTGTAGCGACGATGACTTCGATCCACGATTCATCTGGGTTGTCATCCATAACCTCAGCTAGGGAGGCACCGTCCAGGAGGAGTTAGACGTCTTTGAATGCAGCACCAACTAGCATGGCGCAGATATCTCCAGACTCACCAACCCTACGGGGCTTCTCTAGTTCCTCGATAGCTATGACCTGCTGCTCGAGAACACCAACTCAGGGATGACGATGATGACATCATGTCACATATGCACGAGTGCTACGTAGGCACTCCCGATCGTCTGAATGGCTACAGGGAAAATGGGTGGCGCACCCCTGATCAATCCCCTCGCAACCACTTTGACTACGACCATGAGATCCCTTACAAAATCAGCCAAGAGGCTCGGGATCGCCTGCTAATCCACAACGATGTGTTGGCAGAAGAGAACAGGTGGCTCTAGGAGCAGAACACGGCGCAAGGTAGCCAAGTCTACAACAACATCCTGCGGGCAGCCAGCCAATCTCGGGAGCAAAGCAGAACCTAGACAAGGCCATGCTAGAGGCAGCTGATATGCCACAGCCATCAACTGAAGAAGGGCATTAGGCATTCTGAAGGATTCAAGAGCTAATGGCAGCTGTAGCAGATTGGATCCCAGCATGAGCCATGCGTCCGTCTCGCGTCGCCAGGTGCCACGACACTTGGGGGCTCGACAGCCACCCCGAGCCGAAATATTCCCACATCAATCTCCTGAACATCACCAAAACCCTACTCACTAGGTAGGCTAGGGTAACGGTAGTGGGCGTGGAGGCAACAGTGGCGAACAAGGGGGCAATGGCGACGGTCACGGAGGCAATGGTGATGCCGAGAACGGCTACTACTCGGACGACGAGTGCGACACCTAGCGAGACGACAGGAACCTGAGGAACCTTCGGGATCCCACACTACCCATCGAGGACGACTTCTATGATTTGGTTGGGCCACCTGCATTTGGGCACCAGATCCGATCAGCACCAACGCCCTAGAAATTTTATGCCCCAAACATCAACAAGTGGGCCTGATCTGTGCCATAAGCGCATGGGCCTGCTCCATGAAGTTTGGCCCCACTGGCAACACCATCCAAACGGCAGTAGTCGCTGCCTGCTCCAGTGCCACAAAGTGGTCATAGTTAACCTCTGACATCTAGGCGGCACCGCGTGTCCTGTCCTTGGACTCATTGTGGAGGCGTGTCTCCTCTGCCACCTACTAGGCCAAGTCCTCATTGGCCTAGCGCAGGGCCACCTCCTTGGCCTGTGCCACCGCCAGCTGCTCTTGCATGACTGGGATAACAAGAAAAATAAAAACCCTATGCATTAGGGTTGAAGCTACTCCAAGCATGACATAGGGTTAATGAAGCTGCCTTACTAGCAAGCTTCGACAGGTCCACCGTTGCCACCGCTTTGGCCACGACCGTCTCTTGGTTCGCGGCACCGAGCGCCGCCTTCGTGGTAGATCAAGAGGCATGCCCACAGCTGCTCTGCCTCTAGGCTCTCCTCACGGAGGTCCTAGCATGTCACATCTAGATCCCGCAACATGGTGCGGATGTCCTCCCTGTCGTCCGATGACCCATCGGAAGAAGAGGAGGAGCCCGACAAGGACATGGACCCCGCTACCAATAACCTAATGACGAAGGAGCATCCCTGCCAGCGAAAGGCCATGCCAACAAACCCTTCTTCAAGATGGCATTGTATCAAGGGAAACATCATAACCTTTTGAATGAGATTAAAGGACAGATTCACACTCACCTAAACTTCTTAAGCTCCACTCGAAGAAGAGGGGGGCTCTAGAACACCCGCTTCTCGATAGGTCCCTCCGCTGGCTCCTTCCCTGGGTGCTTCTCTCCCACCATGGATGGTGTTGGCATGAAAATGCGTCGACACACGGCAAGCCGGAAGGATCTGCTTGATGGAGCTGGAGATCCGTTTGGCTTTAACGCAGGGGTAACCGATCCTGCGAATTCCTCTCGAGACGTGCTAGTCAATTTGACCCTGCAATTGACAAGGAGAGAAAATTTATCAGTAATTTAAGGTGGAACATGCCGGTCTTTGCCCAGACAGGTCCAAGTGTGCCGCTTCGGGGGCAGCCTGACGGGAAAATCAACTAAATAGCCGGTACGCACAGAAATCGGCTATTACAGACATTAAAGCTTATGGATCACGATTGGTTTTATGGTGATAAGTACAATGCCCGCAGACATAAATGAGATCATCAGCTAGGTGGACATTACCAGTATGAATCATTGAGCCGATGAATCTAATTAGGAAAAGATATAGCATGTAAACAAATCGATTGTCTAATACAAATGGATCTACAAACGCTCTGAATCTAATCGGTTACCATCAATAGTGAGGTTCGACCGGATCGATGGCAGCTATGATGATAATAATAAACTAAAACCTTAGAATCTGTAGAACCATCTATACATCGATAGGCTTTCCGAAAGACATGCTATACGTGAAGGCTCAAGTGAAAAGGGACTACAACGTGTGAACAATCGACTATTTCACATGAACAAACCCACGGACTCATCAGACTTAACCTGCTATCTCTAACTGTGGGGTTCGACCGGATCGATGCAACCATGAAAAAGACAACGAATCAAACCCTTAAAGTACACAGATCTACTCACGCTTAACAGAATCATGGACGCACACTGTAGGCGTTAACGCACAGGCGATCGGCTATTTAGCCGATGTAGGCATAGCAAACAGCTAAGATCACACCTAATGAAGAACAAATCTACTAACTAGCATCCTCCAATCTACAGTGCCATCAGTGGGGATCGACTGGATCGTTACAACCATAATGGTGAACTATAAACTAGATTTAACTAGCCAGCAAACCTCTTCAAGATTATACATGCCTTAACCACGTACTATGCATGATCAAGATCAAAATAGAATGGCCGATGAAACATAACCCGTCACTTAGAGTAAGAAACATCATGTTGTGACAAAGCAAACGACAGACTAAAAAGGACATGAGGCCGACCTAGATCGATCTCGACCGGGCAAATTGATGTTGCTGCAAACTAACATCAATAAGAACATCAGCAATTTCAGTAACTTAATGAATCTACCCAAAGGACGCCACCCTTAGGTAGAGCCGATAACTTGACCTTAATCTAGTTCGAGCAGTGGAGGTCGACTGGATCGATGCAGCTACACTTGAACTAGACAAGAGTCGATAACTAGCTTATACTAGAGCTCGCAGTGGAGGTCGACCAGATCGATGCAGCCGTATAAACCAAAGTATAAGCCATGACGGTACTTACAAACAAGCCGGAGGTTGGCCGGGCCGATGCAGCCCTGCTTGCTGAAGAACTCGCCGAGATCTACTCTACTCCTACTCCTAAGGGTTGGTCGGAGCCGAAAAAAGGTAAATTGTATTTGATTGATTGGATGTTCCTTTTTACAATAGCTGGGGTCCAATATTTATACCCAGAGCCTAAACATGAATCCTACTCAAGTACGACTCATTACAATCTTTGATATAAAAGAAAACATTCCTATCTTAAGATAACTTGGACCCTAATCTTTCCCTTTTTGT